ACCTTCGTTGGGAGATATTACTTCTCCGTATCAGGTATAATCCTTTCCACTCCTTTTTGGTTCAGATCTGGTTCAGTTTATGGTTCAGAATTGATCCTTGAAAATATGATTTTCTAAATGGGAATACGATTCCCAGTTGAAGGGAGAGAAAAATTTAATTGAAATTCGCCCCTTATTCCGCAATCTTTTGGGCGTCCATAGGATGGATCTCTCATCCCTTCACTCTTGTTCATCGACGAGCTCTCTTGTGCGTTGTAGGAGAACTATGCAATGTCCAGAAGGTGTACCCAATTCTTTTGAATGGCTGAGACGAAGTGCCAAAGATATTCTTCTAAGAGAGAGTTTGTCCTCTTGGTATGTCCATATGACTTTGGGTGATTGTCGCTGGAGAAGTTCAATTGTGATCCCATGAGCTTGCAAAATTCTATTTAGAAGGCTTTGCTGAAGCATGGGTCACGATCATTAACGGTGTTTTATGGCACACCCCAATACTTGACAACTTGCCCAAAAGTATGTTGTCTCCTCTGCTATGCATACCTTGGGTGGTAGGATGAAAGTCACATACTTAAAGAACCTATCAACCACAACAAGAATGGAGGCATAATCTCCAACTTTGGGTAGACCACTGATGAAGTCCATAGAAACACTCTCCCAATGGCGTGTGGGGACAGGCAATGGCTAGACTAGGCCCATAGGCTTTTGATGATTTGGCTTATCCAATTGGCAAATCCCTCACATCATCCTCCATGCAAGGCCAATAATAAGCATGTTGCAGTAAGGCAAGGGTGCACTGCTAACCTGGATGTCCAGCCCAAAGGCCATCATGGAACTCACACAGAAGTGTCTTCCTCGGGTCATCAGCTCATGGAGCAAACATCCAACCACCTCAAGTAAGTAGAAGATCATCTTCAACCCAAAACTGGCGAGTCTTCCCTTCACGTGCAATTTGCATCAAATTGTTGGCAAGGGGGTCCTTCTTGAGACCTTCTCAAATGTGATCCTTGAGGTCCATAATAACTTGGCACATAGATGATCTGCTTGAGGAGAGGGTGTCTAATTCTACTTTCCCACTAAGGGCATTTGTAACCTTGTTCGCCTATCCTGGCTTGTGCTCCAAAGTCATCTCAAATTCGGCCAAAAAGTCTTGCCACCGTGCATGATTTGGACTTAACTTCTTTTGAAACTAGAAGTAACTGGTAGTTGTATTGTCCATCTTCACCACAAAGTAAGAGCCAAGAAGATAGTGTCACCATGTGCGGAGGCAATGTACAATGGTTGTCATCTCCTTCTATTGTACTGTGTATCAACCTCATTGAGTTTACGGTTCTCAAAAGCAACTAGGTGGCCCTCTTGCATCAACATGCCTCCAATAGCAAAGCTTAAGGCCCTGTGTGCATCTCATATGGCTTGTTGTGGTCTGATAGAATTAGCACCGGTTCTTCTAACATGGCCTTCTTCAAATCTTCAAAGGCTAGTTGGCATGCTTTTGTCCATCACCATGCATTTGTCTTCTTCAAGAGATTAGTCAATGTGGCAGCCCAAGTTGAGTAGCTTGGTATGAATCTCTGGTAGTAGTTGACAAGCCTCAAGAAGGATCAAAGCTCTGTCATCGTGGTAGGGAAATCCAAATCTTGAATGACCTTGACTTTGGTGGAGTCCATGCTGATGGTGCCCACATGAATGATGTACCCAAGGAAGGCCACCTTTTCGTTGGCAAATGACACTTTTCTTTCTTTGCATATAAGTGGTTCTCCCATAGTACCTAGAATACAATGCAGAGGTGGTCAATATGTTCCTCTAGTGAACTACTATAAATTACAATATCATCTATGTAGATAACAACAAATTGATCCAGATAATGATGAAAAATGTTATTTGTCAATGTACAAAATGTTGCTAGGGCATTGATGAGACCAAAAGGCATGACAAGGAATTCAAATGACCCATTTCTGGTGACGCAGGTAGTCTTATGTTCATCACCTTTAGCAATGCAAACTTGATAATAGCTCAAGCGAAGGTCCAATTTTGTGAAGTACTTAGCATGGCTCAATTTGTCAAACAAGTCAGCAACTAAAGGAATGGTATTGGGGTACTTGTTCTTGATAGTGAGATTGTTCAAGGCCTGATAGTCAATGCAAAGGTGGAGTGAGCCATCATGGTTCTTCTAAAATAAGAATGGGGCTCTATAAGGGAGCCTTGGTAGGTTGAATGAACCCAACTTCTAATAACTCACTCAGTTGCTTCCTTAGCCTGACAAGTTCTAGAGGAGGCATACGGTATGGAGGGCAAGTTGGTGGCTTGGCATTTGGTTCAAGCTCAATCTTGTGGTTAACTT